AGATGTAATTCCGCCAGGCTTTTTGTAGTGTGATGTTTGGGTGTAGATGTAATTCCACCAGGCTTTTTGTAGTGTGATGTTTGGGTGTAGATGTAATTCCACCAGGCTTTTTGCAGTGTGATGTTTGGGTGTAGATGTAATTCCACCAGGCTTTTGTGTTGTGCATCTGGGAATGTGGGATGACACCTGTGCAGGAACGAAGGAGGGGGATTATTATTAATTATTATTATTCTTTTTATTTTTGTATCCCATTTTGGCGCCTTCAGCCAATGAAGTGATGTGCAACCATGCAAGTAACACAGTGATTGCGTTTTTTTAAGTGGAGCCAGGGGGTAGGGACTGAGGGGGCTGGGTATAAATAGCTGAACAGAGGGGGCAGATGCTATGTGCACCTGGGTACAAGCAGACACTTCATTATAAATAATCAGTATGAGCTACTGATAAACCAATAAATCAGCACCACAAGAAAACACTACATACCTAGAAATATACTGATGGTCTGAAGCATTCATATGTTTCCCAAGTGAAAATGAAGCAGTACTCAACATGTATTGACTTAGTTACGCCCACCTGGATCTCTGGAAAGAGATCATGCAGGTCCCACTAAACTGCTACTGAGGTTCCATGTTTAAGGGAAATTTATAAACACTAAAATGTTCTACCTCTAAAGGAACTCTATAATCCCATTCATGCAGCTGACAAACTATCGATGGACAGGGCATTAATTAATTACTAGATATCCTGTTTCGACTAGTCATCAGAGGGCCAGTGGTGTGGCTTACCTGACTGAAGTTTTTGATGGCTTACTCGCTTTTCCTTCAAGCCCCGTGGCCACATAATGTGTCTACATGCCGTGATTTGAGCCCCCATAAGCCCTCAGTGCTGGACGGTGATTTTGAAATGACAGCTTCTCTCAGTTTCCTGACCGTCTCCATTTCTCCCCCCGCCCCCCAAGGTCAAGGTTTTATTTGATTGCTTGACACCCATAAACAAGTTATCTGCAGCGATGGTCAGAGGTCAGCTTCCGAGCATCCAGAAACGAAATAAGATAAAGTAATTAAAGAGGAACTGAAACATAGTGCCTTCAATCAGTACTACTGGATAGTGTGAGAGTTATGAAAGTTTTTTTTTCTTTTTAATTTCCAAACATTTTCCTAGTACCATATCCGTGACAGTAGAAATCCCCATTTCAGCAGTGTGTTGAAGAATGAACAGATTTTGGTTAATTCAGTGATGGCAAACGCGATGCATGCACTGTGATGCTCAGTGTGTGGCTTCTGGTCTCCCCCTGTAAATTGTTGTCAAACCTTCCTTTATATGTTTTGTCTCTCCAAAGCCATACATGCAGCAGGACATTTCCAGTGGGATGGCTGCAATTTGCTCCCCGAAATGAGAGCTGTGAGCTGGGGTTGGGCAAGCAGTGCCAGGGTTCACAGAAGGTTACAGAGACTGTTTTTATTTTTCTTTGGGGTTGCGGCCTACCTTCTTCTTTACCGTCTCCAAGAAATAAAACTGTTTCCAAGCTACGACTACAGCCTTACACAAATACTGGTGACTCCAGGATCGTTTCACCCAATTTGCTTTTTTCATCATCCAATACAGGTCCCAAGCAGGTTCAGAATCCATGGCAGCAACAAAGACAGAGCCTCAAACCAGAGTCCATCAAACAGGACTTCACCACACCGTTGTCCCCACAGAAACAGCCCCAGCTGTTACAGCCAGCCAGATCTATCCAGGAGTTGCTCCACTCTGATCCAATCAATCTTTATTCTTTCTCCAGCCAAAATCAATCCCCATCTTCCAGAGAGTGCAACACAGAGCGCCCAGTGAGAAGATGCTATAACTGAACGTCAGCTGCTCAGAAAATCCCGGCCATGTGGGGGTTGCGGGAATGGCCAAGGGAGGGGCCAGAGAGATAGTCCTGGAAATATTGAGACATCTGTGAAGGATTCGGATGGCAAGTCCATCTATCAAGGCATGATTTGTTTCAGCTCATGTTCTCCCAGTGATAAACAACCAAACATGATCGCCATGGAGCCAGACAAGGCAGAGGAATTCTGCAGGGCAAGGCAGCGGCAGCAGGACCAGGGACACTTACCTGTGGGACTCAGAGGACACAACCACCACGCGGGCAGGAGCCGCCCGACGCAGCACATCCTGCAGGCATTGCACCAGGTAGAAGTGGCCCAGGTGGCAGATCTGGAAGGTGGACTCCAGTCCATCCTCCGTCATCTTCCAGGGCTGAGTGCACACCCCTGCATTACACACCAGAACGTGTAGTGGCCTGGGGGGAGTTGGTGACAAGAGATCGTTTAGTGTCCGTTAAGGGGGAGGGGGGCTGGACATAAGCAAAGAGTAGCAGATTATACTGACAGCGATGAATCAGAGGAAATGTGTACTGTTGAAAAGACTATGATTCTTACTGAAGAAATTGGAAGAATACTAACACAGAGTTTTATTAAACAGTGGTTTCCATAGACACATATTTTATGCATTCTTAGGATTCAAACTGAAAAAACATTAATGGAAACACTCAAATTTAGAAAAACCGAATATGGCAAAAAAGTTTTTACTTTCGCTTGATGTGGTTTTTGAGTCAGAAAAGAAGTAATTTGCAAAAGTGCAATGAAACAGCAGCTGCTATGAAAGAGCAGACATGTAAGGCATGATAATTAGTTCTTAAAGAGCTACCTCATGAAAAACCTGCGTCATGTAAGTAAGACACATGGATTTTAATGTCACGAGATGATAAATGGCAAATATTAGGCACAAGACATCCATTAATGGAAACACCCTATTTCACTTTGTTTACTTATTGCAAATCCGCTTATAATTGCCACAAAAATTTAATAGAAAGAAAGCTAATGAGTCCTCTTCTGTTTTAGTGGAAGAGAAGGAAAAACCCAGAGTTAAATAAGTCATTGAAACTGGAGGCCAGTCAGCTCCACAGGAGACCTGGATCAGCTCCAAATTGTACTGAAGACGAGTGAACACAGAGGGAATGAGTTTTAAATGTGCCGTGAGCCGGGCAGGAAGAACATATCTGGATACTCTGCTGAGGACAGGAGTGGCTTCCCTGCTTCCCACCCCAGGTGGGCAGCCAACATCAGCTCTAATGACTGCTCCTGTGGCAGGACCCAGCGGCGCCAGGCCATGGTACAGAAAGAGCCGGAAGAAGCTGGCGCGTAATGGGCGGCTCATAGGGGTGACCGACTTTCTACTTAAAGGACACTTATTTTCCATTGAGGACAAACCCCACGAGGCTGACGAGGTGGATGCCAAAGGCAGCCATGCACATGCCAAGACAAACAGCCTTGAAAAGTCATCATACTGTAAGCCATGGAGGAGGACATACCTTGGACAAGGGGAGCACAGCCAGAGGGTTTGATTACAAAACCTTAATGGGCATCAGAGTCACACGGGATGGAGGTAAAGGTTCTTGCGCTTGTTATACGTAAAGACCATAGAGCTGAGGATTTGTCTATGCAGAAGCAAAGACTCAAAAGAAATGACCTCGCGAAACAATGAGACATTCTGCCTAGAATCCACATACACAAGTCATAACAGCTCTTTTGTGTAACGAAATTGATGGAAAAAACTGAATGGGATTCTCTCAAAAAAGGAGTGTGCACACCAGTCACGGACATGTGGGAGGGAAAACTCAAGAGCTGCCAATGACTGCAAGGTGTAAGTCCCATCGCTTGGGCCTTCAGAAGCCTCCCAAAGTACCGCTGATACCTTCTGACATACAAGTCATTTTCAATGGAATGCAGCTACAGCAAATATGTTCTTCAGGACAAGTGAGAAACTGAAGGATGCAGCCCTACTATAACACGGAGGGGGGGCACTCAGGTCTAGGGTGGTGGTCAGCAGCATGTGAGAAGCACATGCAACTACTTCAGTTCATGGTGCCCCTCATTAGAGCTGATCATTCTCCCTGTGCCTTTTCTCACATGGGGGTGAAAAGTGCTCACTTGCAAACTTTTAACCACCAAGAGATCTGAGGAAGTGGAGCCGGGTTGCAGTGGACCCAAAACCACTCCGTGCAGAACAATCCATAATACACCCCACCAATTTTTAATTTCTTCCATTAGAATTAATTATGAGGACCACAGGCAATTTGTGTACTCTGTGTTTAAGACTGCCTGCATAATTAATTAAAAACTGGATGCTGGAAAATGAATCTACAAATTGTTATGCCTAACTATAATAAGCTGTCATGTGCCATTCAAGGGAATTGTATGTTCACCTTCGGGTTATAATGGAAGCTGTTCATGTATTGCATCGCAGTGTGAGCAGCCACTCCAGTGAAAGCGAGCTGAGCTCTCCCACTGTTAAGAACGAAGCACAGAACAGCAACAAGTACAGTGGCACTCCTTAAGCAAGCCTAAATGAAACACAAATGACGCTGTGCACAATTTGAGAAGAACTGAAGGTCACCCGTAACTGGAATGAGAGGGGAAGTACCACGAAAAGCTGCCTCGCATCTTAGAAGCCCAGAGCTGGAAGCCGCCATCAGCTGCTGAGGAGTAACCTTGAGGTCTCCTCCACAGCTTGGGCCCCTTCCAGCTGTACAGGGCGGCCACAGGCTGCGACGCAGATCGGCAAGCCTGCGGCTTCACTGCCAGGAGAGACGCACACTCTGAAACCACGAATCCAGCCGGCGGTTTAAACGGGGGAGGGGCCTGGCGCATGTGAAAATGGATACCCTTGTCAAACAAGGCATATTTGTCTCGCTAGAAAACGACCCATCGCTTCTTTGTTTATTTTAGGTTACGCAGAAGATGTTTTATTTCAATTCAAAGAACGGTTAAGGTGCGGTTATAGGTTTCACCTGTTTTGAGTAGAGAAGGCAGAAAAGCTGCCGCGGGTGAGACATTCCAGGTCCAGAAGGTGCCAAGGGACAGGAGCGGCTTGAATGGCTCCCCTGTTCTCTGCTAACTGCTCGGCGAGCTGAGGTCTAACCATCTGCATGAAACACTCATCTGTCTTCTGGGCAAGCACCTCCAACCAACGCTACACTTGCAGATGTTTCTCAGCAACAGAGAATAATATTTAATCAAATTGCCTGTTAATTATTTCTTTTTGAAGGTGTGTGCTAAAACTAAATATCCCTGTTGAAAAGCGGAGGCTGGCAAGCAAAGAGTGGGATGGGGTTTCTGGTGCTTCCAAGAGGATAAGAAATATGGGCCAAAGACCAATACCAGCAGAGACGTGTGGAAACATGGAGACCAATAGGAGCACAGACACCTGACCAACATAAGTTATGAAAAAAACACAGAAAGGCCCCCAGCCGGGCACAGACCTCACCCACCCTGCCCACGCCAGGGGATGGTGACCTCGCACTGTCCCGTCTCTAGGCCTGATGGGCAATCCCAGTTTAACAAACAATGATAGCTGTCTACTCTAATCTTTACGCTTCCCAATCTTGTGAAACTACTCAGAAAACATCAGTTACACACAGATGTTAAAGACCTTTTTGGAGGTAAATACACAAAGATGACAGTCCAGAGAAACACTGTCAGTGTGACAAGTCCAACTGCCTTCATGCCTCCATTTGTCATTGGAAAGGAGTGCCACTCATCACGTTCTCTGACTTGGACGTAAAACGCCTGTGTTCACACAGAGCACAGGGGCAGAGGACACAGCACTGTGAGCCCCCGCCATGACAGGCGGCCACGTGCGTCTCACTGTGCTTGGCATTTTACTGCACAGAAAAACAAAGTATTCGTTTTATACCCGGGTGTATCTGTAACTGGTGGTAACCAGCAGCCCCTGGACCATCCAGATGAGGACAGTTCGCCTTATGGCGAGTTTATCCTTGCTGAACGCGTCGTGTTGGGCGCACAGCAGCCATACGGTAAACAAAGGGCAGCTGTCATGTTGCGCTGCTATGCAGCTATTAATCACGTAGACAGGAATAAGAAAACTACGCAGGAAACAAGAGATTTGATCGAAGGTCAACACAGTTTCTTAATACATGAATGGATTCAGCAAGTAACTGCAGGGAGTTGCAAAAGTCCTTATATCCACCCTAATTTACAGACTCAAACTTTACAAGCAGTGATATATTTTTATTTTTCAGGGTGGGGGGAATGTGCACAGATGGGCAGTCTGGAGTCTGGCCGCAGTAAAGAAACCATCCATTCCAAACAAATTATAAATTGTAAAGATTTATCATCTGAAAGTTACAGGAATATTTGGAATTTGCATATAAAAAAAGCAATAAAATCACAAATGTAACTCCTTGCTGTACTGCAAGTTTTTTCAGAAAAATTATAGGCTGTTCCACTTTACAAGGGAAGAAACAAACACACCTCTGAAGAGAGTCAAATCGAGGGGACAGCTCACCTTGATAGGAAAAGAAAAACGATGATTTCAAAATACACCAATTGTTTAAATACAAGTTTATTTATTAACAACAAAAAAGGAAAAAGACTGCTTTTAAAATTACAACAGAATCCATCCCTGCTGTGTCTGCCGGAGCCACGATGAAGTGGCGAGATCCTGGTTTTGGTTTCCCTCCCATAACGCAGGGCTAATTCTCGGGGAACGGGCCTGTAATTTAACGACGTGGCCTTACTGCTGGCCCCATGGAGCTCTCACTTCACGAGCGAAAGCTAACAAATGTTTTTAATAGTGTAGCCTACATAATCGCCATCTCCCCTCCAACACATTAACACGTCGGAGCTTCTCTGGGCCGCAGCCATTATGCGAGCATGTGCAATATGTATATGAATCAGCTGGGAGAAGTAAGTACCGCACAGGGAGGAATTACACAATATATTTACTTTAAAAAGCCCTGGAGGGACAACCCCTGACCCAATAATAATCTCCCCATAAAGAAAGCAAATGCTTTACTCCAATCTAAGCTGGACTTTGGTCATTAAGAGTGTCTGTGAATTCTCCACGGAGCCTTAGCTCAGTCTGTGGCACAGTCAAGCAACAAACGCTCACACAAAATTATATACATGGATCTTTTTAAAAGAGTGTATTAATTGGATTCGCCCCCCCCCCCAAGCAGTTTATGGCATAAAGCTATTCTAGTAATAATTTGACTGTGCAGGGATTTTTAATGCAAATGGCCAAGCAATGTGATGTGTATAATTAGATGGGTCATTTGACGTGTTTATTACATGACGTAAGAGGAAAACAGAAAAATTTCCCCGTATATACATTTTATTATATATTTCTAATTTGTTTTGTTCCCCAACAGATACGCCCTATCAGATGACGGTAATGGCCCAGACTGTGGAACACAGGCCGCAGCACAAGAGCAACGACGATCTCCCTCCTAAACGTTGGGGAGCAGACGCGAGTCAGATCGCCAGGCGGGTAAAGGAGCAAAAGAAATTAAAAACTTGACATTTGCATGCCAGAGGTCAAATGATTCAAAAAGAAAAAAGGGAGTGCGGGGTGTTGGTGAGGAGGGGGGCTCTGATTACATTTCACCTGCCAATGACAATGATTTTGTGTGTTTGTGCCTGAAGACATACGAGCTGTAATAGAGCTGAGAAAGGCCCCTCGACAGCTGCTCACTGCCATTCACACCTGAAAGGATCCATGTTCTGATGAAAATTAATGTACTCTGACATCCTGTGGGACTCCTCGGGCCTGGGGAATAGCTAATGAAGAAATACAACCTTCCCAGACTCAACGCCAGCCAGGGAGGAGCCATTTTAGGCTGTGGAAAAAATGAGGGAGTCAAAACCCAGCATGGACCCAAGCAAGTCTGCGTCACCTCCGACCAAATCCCACCCCGCAACTCGAATCCCTCTGTTTGGACCACAGACGCATCCACTCGCACCTCGATGTCCACCTTCCTATGTGGATTACTGTGTCCTTCTTTACTTAACATGGGTTTTCTCGAGCTCCAGGATCTCCTGAAAGGACCAATGCTCATGAAGACCATGAAGTCCAGCTTTCAGCTTCAGAGCATGAAATGAACAGTCGATCACATTATACACATCATTTTTGGGCTCTGACTCTGAATGATGGACATTTCTTGTCTAAAAGTGACCAGATCTCACATTTACAGGTCAGCTCTGTTAAAAAAGCTGAACTTCACATTAAAAATTCATCACCTGCAGAGAGGAGTTCCTCTGCTCCTTTATTTCTTTGTAGTGTGTGTGATGCAGGTGTTGTTGACATTATCAAACAGCTAGAAGCATCTAGCCTTTCAAGAACATTCAAAATAATACCATCAATCTTCAGTGAGTGGCCAAAATTGAACAGCCATTAAATTGGATCGAAGTTACACTTTTCAAACACCCTGTCAAATTGTAGCCAGGGGTCTCAGGTGTGAGGTGTGAGGTGTGAGGGTGTGGATCAGTGGGGCAAGGCGGGGGACCACTGGGGTCAGGGGGGCCCAACGTTAAGGGCCAGACACAAGGTCTGAATAAGTCTCACTTTTTCCACAGAATCTCAGCGTTCAGTGAGGGTCACTGGGCCAAATAAATGATTTGGGTCCCAAATGGATTCCAGGTAATGGATTAATCTTTTTTCCTATTAAATGCAATCGGACTCTATTATGAACCTTCAGAAGATCCATTTCAGAGGCAATGGTATATAAACGGGGGTGGATTTGCACATGCCTGACTGTGTCTCTCCAGAAGCCGCTGAACCATGGCAGAGAGAAAATCTTACAGGATA